TTCCTTTCTAGTCTATCTAACCATTAAATCAAGACTTAGATTCTAATTTTGCAAAGTCATCAGTACCTTAGGCACTTTACTTTTGTTTCTTTTTTGATAATGTGTAAAATTCATTCAATTGTTTAGATTGCCTAGGCCTAAGGAGAGTTATTATAATGAGAATCCCAGTGAGAGAATATTTCAAGAAAATTATCATTGTTAGTTAAAAACAAAAAGTTACATAGTTACATTCACTAGATCGTCTCCAGGCAAGGTCTCTTCTCTCCAAAGGCAACATCCATGTTTCAAACCACAAAAGCAGAATTAGGGGAAGGGGAAGTGGGGAGTCCTTATCTGTCCTGCCAGCCAGCTCCCAACTCATGACATGGAGATGTATTATTAATTATGAAAGCTTGGCCGATCGCTTAGGCTTGTTTCTAACCAGCTCTTGTAACTTAAATTAACCCCTTTCCATTAATTCACATGCTGTCACCTAGCTCATGTTACCTCATCTCCTACATGTCATGTTTCCTCCCTGTCTCTTTGCAGCTCTGCCTTCTTCCTAGAATTCTCCCTGCCCCGAAAATCCTGCCTAGCTATTGGCCGTTCAGCTTTTTATTAAATCAATACAAGTGACACATCTTCATAGTGTACAAAAAGATTATTCCACAACAAAGGGGAGCTTTAATGACTAGAGAAACTTTAAAAAGGTACTTATGATAGTATGATTAAACAGTTAGCCCTGAAAAAACTATATAAAATTAACATTATACAGACTGGGCAAGTTATATGAGGGAATACATATGTAAATACATATAAATATCTATCCATCAATATGTGTAGATAGATATATATGCATGTAACAACAATTAATGAAAACAAATGCCAAGAACTTGAAAGATAACAAGGAAGAATATGAGGATTTGGAGAAAGGAAAGGGAAGGGGGGAGAAAAGATGGGAAATGGGAAGAAAAGGGGGAAATAAAAAACATAATAAAAAAATTAAAACACAGAAATAAATTGGGAAAAATATTTTTAAAAATGGGCCAGGGGTGTAGCTCAGTAGTAGCACTTTTTGCTAGAAGGTGCGAGGCCCTGGATCCCATCCCTAGCACTACAAAAACAAGTAAACCAACAAATAAACAAAAACAACAAATCCTACTACAGCCAACATCAAATCAACTTAAGAAAAACAAAGCAATAGTCTTAGCTCTATTATTATTATTATTATTATTATTATTATTATTATTATTATTATTATTTTCATTTAAAAGGGAATGTGTCCTGTTATTCTGCCTAGGCCAGTCTAAAATCCCTAGTCGCAAGCCATCCTCCTAACACAACTTCCTGAGTAGCTGTGGCTACGAGTGAATGCCACAGTAAAGACACTTGCTTTTAAGACAGTGCTGGACCACCTGGCCTGGGACATTAGGGTCTTAGTGGGAATGAGAGTCAGACTACAATCAGCTACTGCTATGAAAGCATCTCTTTAATCTTTGATGATTTTCATAAAGAGATGGGGAGATCTGATTTATAGCTCTTGTCTATGTCTTCTTAACAACTAAATCTAGTGTTCCACCATGTGTGAGTGAGTATGTATGAATGCAAACACGCTCACATCCATAGGTTAAAAAGAAAGATAATCAACCCTCCAATGTAGCCCAGGTGTGTTTAAGTGCCTGGGTGCCTCACAAAGTTCTCAGTGGCAGGCAGGTACCACTGTTGTGGTCCTGAGCAGGCATGGCCTGTTCTCTTGATAGCATTCACTCTGCTGCTGTTCAAATCTTCAGGAAGGTACCAGTAATCTCTATTTTATGTCTTAATTACACAACCATCTATCTAGTTGGCAACTTCAAGAAAACAAAAGTTTAAAAGGTAAAATATTTAACCACAGTGTACCTTAGAACAAAATCCAAAGCAGAAAAAAACAAAATCTTAGGCAGTCTTGCAAATAAAGCAGAAAACATCCATAAGTTATCAGTCTTCCTTCTTTCCTTCCTTCCTTCCTTCCTTCCTTCCTTCCTTCCTTCCTTCCTTCCTTCTTCTCTCCCTCCCTTCTTCCCTTCCTTTTTCTGTTCTTTTCTTTTTTTTCCAGGCAGTATTTCTCTATGTAACCTTGACTGTCCTGGAACTCACTCTGTAGACCAGGCTGGCCTCACACTCAAAGATTCACCTGCCTCAGCCTAGGATTAAAGGCATGCACCACCACCCAGTGGCAGCATTTCTTGAAATGAATAGCCTACACTCAAGGCAAACTACACAAGAAATCAAAATGGCAAAAATCATTGCTTTGCCAGTTCCTTTGCCAAACACCTGCAATATTAAAACAGGTCTGTTTTGACCAATGCCAGGCCTTCCCAACAGAGGCTTATAAAGGATATAAAAAGATTCTAGATGAAGGAGGAGGAAAAAAAAACATTAAAAATGTCACTTGCAAATAATTAATGCCCAGAAGTTTTACACTTGTCTTTGGAGCTAAGAACTACTTTACCCAATGGCCCAGCTTATCAGTAACTCCTCTAAGCTAAATTTACAGGTTTTTGCCTTGGGTATATGTTTCTTGTGTATAAAAAGCTAGCAAACTTGATAATTGGAAATTTATAGCTCCCTGCCCTGTTGACTGAGAGCACCTCTTAATATCTTGTCACCAGCTCATGTATTTCCTCAAGATGGCCCAGAGATTTGGAGAGCTGGGCCACCCTAGCCCAGCTACCCATGTCTACCCCAATCTCACCAATCTCACCTGTCAATTATGACTTCGGTTTCTTTTCTTTCTTTCTTTCTTTCTTTCTTTCTTTCTTTCTTTCTTTCTTTCTTTCTTTCTTTCTTTTTAATTCTCCATTGTCAGAGATGGCTTGTCTATCAACTCTTAACAAAATCTTGCTCATTTTCATCATTTAAATGGGTTCTCAAGTCATTGTTCATATCCTTTTGCTTCATTTTAGTTGTGCCATCTGAAATAATCTATTAGCTCATACAGGAGGCCACTGTGTAATACCTGGACGCTTTCATTGCAATGGCATGTGTCATGCACACATGATGTTTGGGTGTTATTCTCAACTTAAAAAAAACACGACTCATTAAAAAATATTGATTTAATTATCTCTCTCTCTCTCTCTCTCTCTCTCTCTTTGTGTGTGTGTGTGTGTGTGTGTGTGTGTGTGTGTTGTATGTGTATGCACGTGCGTGCAGGTAACTATGAAGACTAGAAGAGGGTGTTAGATTCCCTGGAGCTGCAGCTGCAGGTGGCTGTAGGCTGCCCAACATGAGTGCTGGAAACTAAGATCCAATCCTCTGAAGAGCAGTAAGCACTATTAACCACTGAGCCATCTCTCCAGCCCCAAACACAATCATTTCTAATAGCTCATTCCATTTCAGAAAAGAAATTGGCAGGCTGCTTATACAACGATATACAATAAGATAAATACTGAAGACAGAAAAGTGCACAAAGGAGAAACTAAACTAGATGAAACTAAGAGAGAGGACAGGATTTTAAGCTTGTGTTGTCAGTCCAACACAGGAATCACTTCCACCAGTTCTTGGAAGGTTCTGAACTACTGGCCCAATGTGGTCCACAGTCTGCTTCAGTGAATAAAGTTGTACGGCAACACAGCTGCAGCTATTCATTTACATATCATGCATATGCAGGCATAATTTCATGTTACAGTGACAGAACTAAGTAGCTGCAGCAGAGACCATATGGCCCACAATGCCTAAAATTTTTACTGTCTGGCTCTTTTCAGAACAAGGTGCAGATAGCCAGGATATATGATTCTCTACCTAGAAGACAGAAGCAAACCCACTTCCTAGACTAAGTATGGTCTTTGTATATACAGCAAATGCTATCTCCCCAACTCCTAAAATTCTTTTCAAGCTTAATAAACAAATAAACAAAAATAAAATGGTTTGTCAGAAGCCTGTGGTGAACTCTGACTCATATACTTAGCAGGAAAGGTTCTACTGGAAGAGATGGTCCATAGGGAACTGGGATTATAGCCCAGAGGGCTTGTACTACAGAAAGGCCCAGGTATCAGAGATGGGGGAGGGCAGGGCAAGAAAGAGGTCCACCACACACACATTCCCATGAAACTTGCCTCTCTCAAATTCAGTATAAATACATTGGTAACTTTCACAGGGTTAACAGCACAGTGACATATGTCACTACAAGTCAGTAAGTCTAAACAACAACATAGTTTGGTACCATCCACACGTGGGCCAGCTTAATCCAGGGATAGACTCAGAATTGGCAGGTGCCAGGCACATACATAGCCTTTCCCTGCCCTCCTTCCTCAGCTTTGGCTGATGGGGCTAATGAGTTTTCTTCTGCTGAAACCCAAGTACCTTTAGCAAATCACTATCACTTGATATGTAAGATAAAAGAAAAGGCCATCTTTGCTATATGGCAATTTCCCCTGAACTCTGCTGACCAGGGTGTGAGACTAGACTGAGGATATATGGTGTGCCACCTTCCTATAGCTTAGCCACTCTGTCTTGTCTACATGTAGTCATCTCCTTCAGAGGCAGTCCACAGGAAGGGTTAGGTTGCCAGGACCCTGTGACTAGAGCCTGGGAAAGACAGCTGCCTGGAGACATTGGATGACTTCAAGCATTGCTTGGAGTCCCTTCAGGAAACATTCCTCAGATCTGACCCACTACACAGACCAATGGTGGGTGAGGGCCACAGGGACACCATAGCCACTCTGAAGGTGTTAAAGCCAATGCCCAGATTGTCTCTTCAAAGAAAGAAAACTCCAGATGGTATCACCTAAACCAACTGCTTTGACACACATCTCAAAAGAACTCTGTATGACAAGTGCTCCAAAATAAAGACACGCCATAAGAGGTGACCCATAAGAAACGATATTTCAGCTCATTGTTAGAAGGGGATAGAGGAATATCCTGTGGCCTTTCCCATCCCCACTCCTTTCTTATGGGTGAAATATTATGCTATGAATTGATTGTGTTTCCGGTGGGGTAGAAATGTAGGCTATCTAAAGAAGTTTTTAATATGCAAATTGAGCCGGGTGGTGGTGGTTGATCTAAGCCTTTAATCCCAGCACTCCTGCAGGTACAGGCAGGTGGCTTTCGAGGTCAACCTGGACTACACAGTTCCAGGACAGCCAAGGCTACACAAAGAAACTTTGTCTCAGGAAAAAAAAAAAAAAAAGGCAATTGAAGAGAATTAGAACTATTTGCATTTATTACTCTAAAAGTCACTGCCTAATCAAGACCTAGCTCCTTCCTGTTATCAAAGATCAGGAAAACCAGAACCTTATCTGCCCAGTGACCCAACAGGTCTTTCCACAGGGTGACCAGAAGCACAAAACTAACAAGTAAAATGTCTACAGATTCTCCTTCTTTTGGGTGTGTGGTTGTCTTCCAGAGAATTAAATAGAGAGAAGTAAAACTTATCCATATGTGATAGCAGAGATCATATAGGAAACAAATATGGCAGAGCCCCTGAATGCTTTCTCCATCCTATTTCAAAAGATGAAACTGCCAAGTCTTGCCACCTAGTGTTCTAGTACTAAAGCTGACAATTCAAATCTAGACCACTTATAGTCACACCCAAAAAAATGTTAGAAAATGTGGACTTTGTATGGCCTCAAAGTAGAAGACAAGAACAAAAGACCTCAAGGAGCCCAGGCTAGCCACATGCAGTCCACGCAGAATAATTCTTCAGAATGCTCTGCTAGACCAGGACTGAGGTACCCAACAGTGCATTCTGAAGAGCACAGAACGTCAATATAGCAACTTCCAGAGAAACCAGCAGCCCCCATGTCAGCTTAAGCTGATCCCCACATCTCCAGACCATTATACAAACTTCCATTTTCCTTGATGCGGGCACTGAACCCCGGCTGGAAAGCTGTTTTGTAACCACAAAGGCTTCCAAGTGTGTGTTTCCCAAGTGCCACCACCCCAACAGCTAGGCCAGAACCTCTCAGGCAGCAACACTTGGGCTGATTTTCCTAGGGACTGGTCATGACGGTTCCTACTTACGTAATGCATACAAGGTGAGGATGACTCCGGCCAGGCAAAATCCTTCAAAGAACCTGAGTGTGCTGAACATTGTCACATTCACTGACAGTGCCACAGTCAGTCCAAAGATCAGAATGAAGATGATGGAAAACAGCAGCACAGGCCGCCGACCAACCCTGCATGTGGAGAGGGGAGAAGTCAGACATCCATGTTAAACAAGAGGGCAGTGCTAAGCACTGAAACCCAGCATCCAGTGAGTACTCAATATACGTTGAAGGAGCAGGGGCTAAGTGTCTTCATACTACCCATGCCCACTTCACTAGGTCATGGCTAGGGGCCCCTTGTGGGACACTAAGTCCATCCTCTTCTGGAACTGGGAGGGCACTGCTCAGACAGCTACGAGGAGAGAGAATTTTGTTGTGGCTGGATTACCGGGATTACCGATGCTGAGTCTCTGTGTATAAACAGGGATAGATAGCTCAAAGCAAGAGAACAAAATCAATAACTCCCCAAATACAAACCTTGACACGCCCATCATATAATGCCTTGAGAAACTGCTGACCTTTGGACTGGCCCAGAAGTCAACATGCACATGGAGGGAAAAGCTTCACTTCTATTCTCCAGTTGTTACCTTGGGGAAGTTATCTTGTTTCACAGGCAGCCTATTGGTCTAGGCCTATGGGTCTATGGGCCTATGGGCCTATAGGCCAGCTATAATTTGCTTTAGCTACATGACAACATGTAATTCTGAAGGGACCATGGGGATCACACACTAAGCCTGGACACTTTGGACTGTAAATAAATGCTATGGTGCCTTACAGGAGAACCTGCAGGAAAGAAAGGGCAGTGGCATGTCCTGCCCTTTCACAAACCACACCCAGAGCTAATTGGTGCATGATCAGTGGCCAGTAGGGGACAATATACTTGGGGGCAATCAGAGGGCAGATGGGGTAGTCTGTGGAAATTGAAAAACCACGAGTTCCCTTGTCCCCATACTAACCATTCACCTTTTTGAACTTGTTACAAGTAAAACCATGGCAACAGAGCTGCAGCAAACAAATTAATATTTAACACAACTAGTCTGGGCTAGAAGGATAGCTCACAGAGAAGGTGGGGGAAAGGGAGGAGAGGAAATGCAGGCCTGGTGCCTTTAGCACCACATAAGGTAGCTAAATGGCTTTAGTTGTCCTAGACATTTATGACAAGGCATTGACATACAAGTCAAAAGAGGGGGGAAAGAGCCAAAGAACAGACAGTAGAAGGGTGGCTGCCGGGGGCTGGGTGAGAACAGAGAATGTTTATGAGCACATTTCACAGTCTCTGCAAGGACAATGGAAATGACTTAAACTCAAAATGGGCAAAGGACCTAACTCTGCAAACACATTCAAAACCATTGAATTGTGCACACTAAAGGGCATGTTTTATACATATGTAAATGCTGCCCACTTCAAGCTCATTTTAAAGATAAAGTGCTGCAAGGCCTACCCTGTCTCCAATAATTTTAATTTATATAACATGTAATATAAAATATAGCAAAATATGCAAAGATATTAAAATATATAGCACAGTAATATATAATAGTTTTAAATATAAAATACAACATGTATACTATAAATACAAACTACTTTCTAAGAGCCCACCTACTTCTTTCAGTCTTTTTGATTTGGGGCTATGTGGCCAAGGCTATGAGTCTATAGCAATGAGAAGCCTTTGTGTTTGTGCCAGGGACACAAAGTCCTTACCAGGAAAGCTCTTACCAGGTGTTTTGGTCCGTACCCAGCTCACTTGCAGAAGTACATTTAAAGCATGGCTAACTTTTCCTCTTAAAAGGAAGGAGAGTATACAAATATCTAACCTGTTTTTAATTCCCTGTACCTACTTCACCTGTGAATGGGGCTATGGGATCCGTTTCACTTCATAGAGGGGCATGATGGGTCTAGCCTGAATCTCCAAGCTAAATGTTTCAACTTTTAGCCTTTCTGCACTTCTTGCTGTTGTTTGATATTGTCTTCCTATGTAGTCCGGTCTGGCTAATCTAGAACTCTCTGTATAGGCCAGGTTGGCCTCAAACTGGCAATCCTCCTACCTCCCAACCCCCCAAGTCCTCAGATCTCAGGTGCATGCTACCACGCCCACTGCTTCCTGATGTTCAACCCTGTTTCATCCTGTTTTGATTTTGTCTTAGGAAAGATGCTTGATTTTTTACTTTAAATCTTGTAAAGCACCTTCTATATACCTCCTATCCAAATAGTTACTTAAATCAGTAAATCACCTATCAATCAGTGGGGGCTGTGAGGGCCCGAGTGGTCTCTGCAGTCAGAACAAACACCTTAGTTTTGCATCCAGGTTCCTATCACATCATTTCTAAGTTATGTGATCTTGGGAACATCTGTACTTTCTTCACTGGTACCTATGGAGTTTGTGTGGAAATTGTGCCAGCAACTCAGCGACCATTTACCACAACACTACATGCTAGTTACATGCCTCATATGAACCGGTTCCCCACAGTGGGATCATAGGTGAATGACAGCACAGGGCTCATGGCCCTATCTCAGAATCTAGCTTTTTCTTCTTCTTCTTCTTCTTCTTCTTCTTCTTCTTCTTCTTCTTCTTCTTCTTCTTCTTCTTCTTCTTCTTCTTCTTCTTCTTCTTTCAGGGCAAAAGGGACTCTGAAAATGGGATTACAGCTAAGGACCTCAAATAAGGTGATTTTCCAAGGAGGGTAGCATGAAAGAACTTGACTCCATTTCACTGGTTCTGAAAATGGAGGAAGGGGCCATGAACCCAGAACACAGGTGGCTACTGGGGGCTAGAATAGACAAAGAAATGACTGTCCCCTGAGCTTCCAGGAAGGAGCTCTGCCCTGGTGGTGGCCTAGTTTTATCCCAGTGACACCCATATTTGGTTTATGAACTGTAAGATGATTAATTTGTGATGAAGCCACCGAGCATGTAATAGTGACAGCAGTCACGGAGAACTGATACCGGGTCTCCAAACAGACATCCCACTCCAATGAAGTAAATAGAGGAGACTGTAATTCAGGGGTTATTTATAAAAGATGGGGCAACTGGCAGAGAACCTGTAGGACAATATCCACTTTGAAGTTTCTATCAGTGGGGATGAGGGGCTGGGAGCAGACAGTCAGTCAGGCACTATATAGAGGGGACCTGGTTGGTGCCCCTTGAAGTTTTGCAGAGGCCAATGCCTGGGCTAGCCCCTCTTTCCTGTGACTCTTCAGCTTGTATATCCCCAACTATGCTTTCATTCCACCTATTATGTTGTGACAAACACAGGCCATCCTTCAATAGAGCCCTGTCTCACACATAGCTCAACTAACATGTTTTCTAAACAAAAATTTGGGTTGAAAATGAAGCTAGATTTTTCTTTTCAGAATATTTTATTACTTTAAATATTGTATGTGTGTTTGTACTGTGAGAGTGAGTATGTGGTATAGGTGTGTGTAGCGCTTGTGATTTGTTGGGGTCAGAGGAGGATGTCTGATATTTGGCTCTATCATTCTCTACCATATTCCCTTGTAACAGGGCCCTTCGCTGTCTTGGGGTTTCCATAGCTGTGATGAAACATTATCACCAAAGAAACTTGGGGAGGAAAGGGTTTATTCAGTTTATGTTTCCCCATCACTGTTCATCATGGAAGGTAGTCAGGGCAGGAACACAAGCAGAACAAGATTCTGGAGGCAGGAGATGATGCAGAAGCCTTGGAGGAGTTCTGCTTACTAGCTTGTTCCTTGTAGCTTGCTCAGCCTGCTTTCTTACAGAACCCAGGAGCACTAGCCCAAGGTTGGTACCACCCACAATGGGAAGGCCCCTCCAGCAGCAATCACTAATTAAGAAAATGTCCTACAGGCTTGCCTACAGCCCAATCTTACAGAGGGATTTTCTCAATTGAGGCTCCCTCCTCTCTGATGGCTCTAGCTTATGTCCATTTGACATAAATCTAGCCAGTACACTCCCTTAACTTGGGAATAGGCCAGCAGTCAGCAAGCCCCTAAATCCTCCTGTCTCTGTCTCAATAGCTCTGGAATTAGGTGCATGTGGCCATGTCTACTTTTTTTATCTGGGTACTGGGGATTCAAACTCAGGGTCTCACACTTACATAGCAAGTGCTCTAACAGACTGAGTCATCCCCGAAGATCCAAAACTCTTTAAGGCAAGCAGCCTACCACTTAAACGTCTGTATACTCTGACTGGAATTTTAGAAAGCTTACCCTATAACTTGATCAACTTCTTCCTGCAGCCCTGAAACTGAAGCTGCTGTGAAATATGGAGTTCCCTCAAATGGGGTGATTTCAAAGCAAGGCTTAAACAGAGAGTAAAATACACCCCCTAAAAGACAGGAGGGGTGTGAAGAAAATTAACTGAAATGGAAGGCCAGTCAAACTCTCCCAAAGTTACTGCTCAAACATGTGTGATGATTCCCTAGGACATCCCTACTTGTTTGTTCAACCTAGCCCCAAGGAAAGCCATTGTAAAGAACTGGGTTTGTGCCATCAGACTCTAGGCACTGTGAGCAAGACCAGAACTCTTAAGTCTTTTGTTCCCAGGCCCAGGCCTGGAGAGTGATCAAGGAGGCCACTGGTTATGCATGTGCAAGAAAAAGCCTGACACAATGTACACTTCCACAGACAGATTCTTTCCCACTGTAGAAGTCACTTGTGGAATCAGGACACTACAAGTGCTAGTCTGCATTTCTCAGAAAGGAGGGCCATGGATCATATCACTTCTAATATCTGTCAGTGAAGTTCCCTGGGAAGCAGTACCTGCCATATGCTGAAAAGCTAGCAAGCCAAGCATCTGGTTAAATGAAACCTTACTTTCCATCCTCAAAAGCTAGACCGCTCCTAGCACAGGCCTGCAGAGGTCACTGATGGTTTCATGCTGAACACAGGAAATGTGTCCATATGAATTCAGCCCTAGAAATGGTGACTTGGCAGATTCTGGGCTCACAGGAAATCACATTGTATGTTCACACAAATAGACACTAGTTAGAGGAAGGAGATTTCCACCACTTAAAGTGGCCTGAAAACTCTCTGTAGCCATTCCACTACACACACACACACACACACACACACACACACACACACACACACACACTCAGTCTGTCCCTTAGCATTCCTGACATTCCTATGTCAATAGGCCTGAGACATGCTGATTCACACACAAAAAAAGATTATTGTAAAAAGAGTGGCATAGGAAACAGCCATCCCACATCTTTGTCCTTGGGCAATCCCTGACATTATGCAATTGTCTTCCCTCTTGGACACAGCACCATAGTGCTCTTGTGACCAGGGAATGCCCTAAACAAAAGTGCTGTGCCATGTTGTTAGTGAAGCAGTTCTGGGCCCTGTGGTGTGGTTGTCAAGTCCTGAATGCAGCTTGTAGCTGAGTGGACTTGGGGATTGACTTAAACTTCTGGGCTCTGGTTTTTCAGCAATAACAATTAAGGAACGGGATCTGACCTTGCCTAGTACACTATGATCAGTAAGCAATGGGCTCTTTTTTTAAAAAAAAATATTTATTTTGATGTGTATAGGTGTTTTTCCTGTATGCATGTCTATCCGTGGTGCCCTCAGAGTTGAGAAGAGGCTCACCATGTGGGTGCTAGGAATTGAACCTGGGTGCTCTGGGAGAGTAGCAAATGCTCTTTACCACTAAGCCATCTCTCTAGCCCCTAAGCAGCAGGTTCTAATGATGTTGTTACCATTATTATCACTCACTCAGCTTCTGCCTTCTCCTGGTCCTCTTCATCATTTATTTCCTCCTGAACCATGCACTTTGATCTGGAAATCCATCCCTCTTTATCCACCTAAAACACATTCCATCTCATTTCTGATTGCTACCCTTCCCTTGTCCGCAATGCCTATCCCATTACCCAAATGCCATTAGGTTCTACGGTCCTCCTCACCATTGGCACCATGAAGGCAGCTCCTGGCTAAGCCAACAACTGTCTCTAAAATGTGCGTGATACTTTAAGGTGTTAATCCAGACTGACATCTATTTCCATTCGTAAGGTGAAGGGTCTCCAACTCCTTCCCCATTTTTTTTTTAGTCTTTTGGAGAGGGAGTTTCATTCTGTTGCTCAGGCTGGCAGTCTGGCCTCACTGTGTTCAAGAAATCCTCAGCCTCAGTCCCCAGTAGCAGAGACCACAGGTGTAGGCCCCTTCACCCAACTCTCCATTTTTAAAAATGTATTTTGTGCACCCACCCACTTGGTGCCCAGCTGTGTATTTCCATGCTCCTGCCAACTAAGCATAAATTATCAGAATTAAATGGAGCTGCAGGCTGGTCTTGAATGAATTTAGATCCCCTTTCCTCTTTGTCTGTCATGTGTAGTGATCAATTCGTTTTTGCCTCTCCATTTTCCAAGTGGCAGCTTCTATTCTGCCATCACTGGCAAGCAGAGCAAAGGCACAGTGACCCTGTGTTAACACTGACCACTCCTCCTTAGCTAGCAAAGGTGTGTTGTGCCTTCCAAAGGCCCATGTGTCAGGTGCGTTGGTACTCACCAGTCAGCAATGCATCCAGTTATTAGGTAGCCAAAGATTAATCCAACCAGCAAGGAGAATTTAGCGATATGGACCTTCCAGGCATTATCACACACAAGATCCCACTAGAGAGGGGCAAACAGAAGGTAAATCAGAGAGACGCATACATACAACTAGTCTTGCTCAATCACAAGGACAATATAATAACCTTATGGCATTGTTATTGGGGCCATAACACATGTGACACTAAGGATATCTTCATTAGACTGCTGAAAATCCAATGGAAACTCTAATTTGCCCACAAAATGAAATGTGGTGCTTTAATCTAAACAGATTATCTACATCTGCAAGGAGTGGTGCATGAAATCTTAGGGCCATGTGTGCCTTCTGTCCCAAAGACCACAGGAAACTGAGGGAGAGGAGAATGGCCTGAGAAATGGGTGATACCCTGGTGTCCAGAGTCTCTCACACCTCACAGAGTTGCTGCAATCCAAAGTGATGGGAAAGCCTGGCCAACTTCCCTTACAGGATGCTATAAGAACACAAGGAAATGAAAGGCAACATTTGCATTTCACCCCATTATACCATCTAAACTGCAGTCTCAAAAAGAAAAGGAGGAGATCTTGTTCCTTTCCCCTTCTCCAGGGGACCATGTATGTCTCTCTTAGGGTCCTCCTTGTTTACCAGACTCTCTGGCAGCCTGATTGGAGCATGGGGGGAGGGGAGAGGGAACTAGGAGAATGAGAAGGGGAGAAGAGGAGGGGTGAGGAAGACATGATGGGGCAGGGAGGTTGAGTTGGGGGAAGAACAGAAGAGAGCAAGATAAGAGATAATATAATAGAGGGAGACACTATAAGTTTAAGGAGAAATCAGACACTAGGGAAATGTCTGGAGAGCTACAAAGATGACACCAACTAACAATCTAAGCAACATAGGAGAAGCTACCTTAAATGCCCTCCCCTGATAATGAGATTGATGACTATTTCATATGTCATTCTATAGCCTTCATCCAACAGCTGGTGGAAGTAGAAGCAGACACCCACAGCTAAACCTTGAACTGAACTGAAATCCAGATGCAGAGAAAGAGGACTGATGAGCAAAGGGGTCCATACCAAGCTGGTGAAACCCACAGAAACCGCTGACCTGAACAAGGGAAAACTCTTGGTCCCCAGACTGATAGCTGGGAAACCAGCATGGGACTGATCTAGAACCCCTGAATGTGGGTGTCAGTGAGGAGACCTTGGAAATCTATGGGGCCTCTTGTAGTGGATCAGTACTTATCGCTATCATAGGAATGGACTTTAGGAGCCCATCCCACAAAGAGGGATACTCTCTGAGCCTAGACACAAGGGGGTTGGCCTAGGCCCTATCCCCAAGAATATGACAGACTTTGAAGACCCCCCCTATGGAAGGATCACACTTCCTGGGGAGCAGAAAGGGTATGGGATGGGTAGGATGTTAGTTGGGGGAGGGGGAGGAGTGGAGGAGGGGAGAGAGAGGGACCTGGGATTGACATGTAAAATAATTTTCTTTCTAATAAAAAAAATGCACTCAAAAAAAAGAAAAAAAAAGAAAAGGAGTTAACAGTGAATGCTGGGCTATGAACTTATTATATTCTCATTTTTTTCTTATAAATACTCTGGTGAATTATGTTATAGGGCTAACTGGAGTCTCAAACTTAGTCAATTTTGTGAAGTAAAGTTTTATTATTTAATTGGAAAAATGAAAATGATCCACAGGGATGGGGGGATCACTTACTCTATAAATTATATGTTTTCAGACCCATGTGAGCATCTGCCATGAGCTTGAATCTGGAACCCACATAAAACTAGGTACGGTAATGTAATCCCAGAGCTCCTATAGCAAGATGGGAGGTGGAGATGGAAACTCCTGCAAGCTTGAGGACCAGACCATCTGACATTCACAGTGATGAAGAACAAAGAGACCCTCTCTCAAACAACATAGAAGGGGAGGACTAGCTCCTGAGGCTGTCCTCTGACCTTCACAAGTGTTACAGCATGTATGAATGCTTATACACAAACATTCATGCACATACAAAGGGAGATTGGATGGATGGATAGATAGATAGATAGATAGATAGATAGATAGATAGATAGATAGTCACACAGACAGATCTTCAATTATTATCTTTCCTATTTACCAAAGTGAAAAAGGACTGAGGCTCTAAAACAGTTTACCTCTAGGTCAGAAGGGCAAACGAACAGGGAGTGACTGACTGCCTGGTGCAATGAGGATGCATCCTTGCTGTTTTGTGTTGCCATCATCCACCCTCAGTGGCAGAGAAGCCCTTCTGGCTAATGTTACAGCTTGGAGCTTTTGACCCAGGTCAAAGGAGGTACAAAGGTGGTGGGGTATCAATCCCAGCTGGAAATTTTCCACTATGGGAAAATACAGGAATGTTAGAATAAGAGGGATGCTGGAGGCAGTCAGGAAGGCTGAGGGTAAGGGGTGGAAGCTGTGGGGCCGCAACCTGAACTGGGTGCTGCTTCTTAGGCATTCCTTCCTTTGATCTGCCTATAGGGAGAGTGTAATGCCAAGGATTCTGGTACCCTCAGGTCTGACCATTTCCAAACTGCTGGAGCATCCAGTGGAGGCCAAGGATGACAACTATAGGTCTAGGCTTCAGTGGAATTTGGAAATGACTATCTGTATCAGCAGCTGCCAAGGAAAGAACCTGGCCTAGACAGAGATGGAAAAGGCCAATTATCACTGCTCTGACATCTGCCCAGGACTCCTTGGGGTACTTGATTGTCCATGCTCCATGGCAGGATCCAGAGACCAACTTACTCCTTCCTCTACTGGGCTGGCTGCAGATGGTCTGAATCAGAGCTTAGGAGGGAAGGCAAGAGGATCAAGCACAAGACACACAAAGGCCAAGAAGGATGTTTAGGGGCTTGGAGTCTAGGTGTAGTCATGTATCTGGGGAGGAGGGCTGGTGGCTGCTAGGAATGTCACCTGGGCAGTCAGATGCAGGCATTCTCAAATGCTACAGAACCACAGGGATTCCCTCACCTGGGAGCTGGCAGGAAGTGCAGATTAAGGAAAGTCCAGGAGTGGGGGCTGACAAGCTATCCAGGTAAGCCTGAGTCACATGGACCAACTGTCCTGCTTCTGAGAACCACCATAAGAGCCTACCCTGCCTTTCCATGCCACACGGAGGAACCCAGGAGATCCCTCCCAGGCTTCAATCGCCTCCCAAGAAGGAAGTCACTAACACCCCGTGAAACACACATCACTTGTAAGTGAACTATGAGCTCCAAGACAGCATAAGTGGGTTCTGGAGCCAGCCTGGGATGCCAACATTCATTGATGTTTCTAGAAGAAAAATTTAATAATAAGTAACTTCCTAATGCCAGGAAGGCAGATTTGGCCTTAAAACACAACTTATAGCTTTGCCATGAACAATGCATTGTGTGCATTCTGTTTTCCCAGCTCCATTTAAACATTCTGGGAGAGGCAGCACCTATGCCAATTCATCTCCCAGCTACCCCACACCTGCATAGACTTTGGCCTGGCATATTCTTGGCAAGCACTAAGCTGCCCTGACCCAGGTTGCTGCCTGGGAGAAACACACCAGCTGCCGCCTCTTTCATTCACTCTACTTTTAACTGCCTTCACATCTCCGCAAGACTCCCCATTGAGGAGTTTACTCAAGGTTAAATGATGCAAAAGAGTACATTACACTTATACTAAATGGCTAGGAGACAGAAGCCTTTAATAAAAACATCCAAGGAGATAGAGAGAATAGCTGGAACAGTTGCCAACTCAGTCACCTGAGCAATTCCTACACCCGGCCTGGGGCAGCCACGACCCAATTAGTTGCCACCTAATAAGTTGTTCAGTAGTCACCTCAACATGACCCCTGTCAATTAACAATGCCAGAGTGGAAAATTATTAGGACTTGGAGGAAGACTGAACCACTCACACTGTCAATAAGGAAAGGAAGCCTAGCTGGCATCAATGAACTCTGTGAGGACTCACCCACCCTGGGCGCGGGGCAGGGAATCCAGGGCAAGGCAGCCACCTGTGCCCTACAGCTTCCTCAGCTGGATACATACCTGAGTCAACAAGCAAGGCACCTGAGAGTACCCAGCATGCTTAGCAAGATAAGGGTTACTCATGCCTAGGGATCCACCTACGACCAACACCTATGCCATTCTGAGGCCCACCCTGAGGCACATTCCATTGGGCTTGGGTGATGGGGGAGGAGAGTGGCAGGTAGGCGGGAGGAGGGATGGAAATGAGGTAAATCTAAGGAGCTAGCTCTTTTGTTTATCTTCTACAAAAAAAAAAAAATGTACCAGGCACTTGAAGTGCGTCCTCACTTTAAAATCCACTTTGGTGGATTTTAAAAAATCCACCAAAGGATGCGGAAGCTTTGTAATTAATTACCTGGCTCTTAAATTTGTTCTATTGCTATAGATAAGATCATGGCAATTGGTTACTCAGGAAATTAAACTGTTTTTAAGATTTAAAAATGAAATCCTCTGTCTAGAGCAGTGTTGTAAAAGTCTACAGACAGGATTTAATGAGTTTGGCAAGCTCTCCTTCTCCCTCTCCCCTCCCTCCAATCAATCACCAATACCAGTGGAACAGTGGAAACCTTTCAAATACATCATGAATGTCTCTGGTGTTCAACTGTGGCTATGGCTGTCCTAATTTTTAGGGGTGAGGGAGATGCTCCCTGGACAGCCAAGATGGCAGAGGCCTCCTCCTCATTTATATTCCTGTAGTGCAGGCTACAAGACTGAAAACATTACTTCTGGACCCTTACAGAGGTTTTGAATGTGATTTAGGATCTGCTAATCAGATCCACACAACAAAAACTCTCCATGCTACTTAGTTCTGATCTCAGGGCTAACTTGACTTGATAAAAAACAAGTGGTTGGGGTGGGGTGGGGAAAGTTCTGCAATGCTGGTCAGATCTTGTAGGGGAATGGGTGGTCTTGGGACCTACAACTGGGATGGTAGCTTTACAAGAGTGTGATCCTGGGGCCAGTGGCTAGGACAGTGACTTCCTAATGTCAAGGTTCCAAATGAAACACTGGGCAGGCTGGGAATAAGGGCTATGCTGAGAATCCTTCTGGAGCTCTGGCTTGTGCTC